AAAATATTTTTAAAAAATCGCAATAATATCGTATCGTGCATTAAGTATTGTGATAATATCGTATCGTGGGATGTATGGTGATTCCCACCTCTAATATTAAGTGACCTGCAAACTATGTTAACAGTTTCGTCTTGATGCATGCTCAATCATCCAGGAAAGCTAACTGGCCTCCCAGCCCATTGTTCCTTCAGTGGGCTGGTTTCAGTCATTATGCAAATGTACTGTTTATAAGATTGGGGAAACCTGCAGTCAGCTGAGACTGAAGAAGTCACTTGGATAAGTGACGAAATGTTTCTCCCCGAAAACGCTACGTCCAGATGAACAGAATCAACTTTTGGAGATATGTCAACATTTAACTGAATTTTTATTTTAAATTAATTTAATTACACTTTTAATATGAACTATTATTGTTTTTAATCACCACTATAAGAACAGGACAAACAGCACGAACACCACAGTATAAATCTGACATTAAAATAAAATCAGAGCAGAATTCAGCGTGATAGTGAACACACACACACACACACACACACACACACACACACACACACACACACACACACTCCTGCAGAGTCAGCAGTGACTTACATCAGTCTGAAGACAGTCCACACAGGAGCGGACTCCATTATGACCTCTGTGGGGAAGGAGAAGCAACATTTATTTTATCAATCTGACAGCCTCTTTTCTTTGGTTTTGTTGTCCATCTTCAGGATACCAGATGCACCAGTTGCAGTTTCTTGCATTACATTAAATTTTCATAAATCACCATCTGGTTATACACGGCTGGAATGCCCAACGTAGCTTTTCATGCAGGATTAAACTGCTTCATACAGCTTGCTGTGAGTAGCAGTGAAAAGCGTACTGAGAGGGGACGCCTCTTAACTGAACACCATTCTTATTGTTAGTAAGTATAATGACAAAACAGTTAATGAGATACAACAAGCGTCATGGCATAAAACTAATAAAATAAGGCATAAGAGTCTGAAGAGCTCGGGGAGGCTTCATCACAACAGCGCAATCAAGAGCAAAAATAGTAGCAGGAGGAAGAAAGAAGAGAGAAGAGGCCCAAGAGAGAAGCTGTGTGTGCTGATTAGAAGTTTGTTGGTTTTAAAATACAGGCCTCACTTCGCTGTTATTTCTGGTTGTGCTGCTTCTGTCTTCTCGTCTCGACATTGGGAAGACACCAAGGTTTACAGCAGGCAGAGCTCAGGCAGCTCCCACATGCTCAAAGTTTGAACAATCTTATGTGCACAAAGACAATTCCCAACAGCAGTTGCTTCAAATTGCTTTATAGTGAAAGGTAAAGACCCTAAAATATTAGAGAGAACAGATAAAAGAGAAGTGGAAAAAAGGAGAGTATAGAGAGAATAAGGACAAACACAAAGTGCATAGGAAAGAAGACTCGAGGTAATGACATGCAGTGGTGACGCATAAACACACAGGGAGGGAATAAAGGGGGTGGAGAGAAGTGCTGAGCACATCATGGGAAGTCCCTGAACAACCTGAGACTATAGCAGCATCACTAATGGATGCTTTGAGGTCACCTGATCCCTCCATCTGATCCAGGTTTGATCAAAAAAATAAGTTTCAAGTAAAGTTTTCAGCCTAGTTTCAAAAGTAGCGAGGCTGTCTGTCTCCTGAACCCGAACTGGAGCTGATTACACAGAAGAAGAGCCTGAAAGCTGAAGGCTCTGCCTCCTATTCTACTTTTGGAAGCTCTAAAGTAAACCTGCAGTGGGAGAGAGAAGTGCTCTACTGGGACAAGACACTGTCAGGTCTTTAAAATATAATGGAGCCTTGTTGCTGTTGTTTTTTTCCCCATGAAGACAGAAACTTTCCAGTCTGAAAGTTTGGACGAATGAGTGCAAATGGAGTTTAAAAGCCGCACTTGCACTTCCACGCAGAAATATATTTGTTCTTATTGGCCTTAAAGTTAATGTTAAATGTACCTTGATGATACTTTAGTGACTGCTTTCCCTCACCACTGTCAATACATCGCTTAAGATAATGAATACTGTTGGTGATGTAAACAGATCGCGGCAAAGCGATCCAAGACCCAACACTATGATAGAGGATGACCCACCTGGCGCTTCCTCCATGTTTGATGGCGATTTTCCCCAGAGGTTTGTCCAGTTCATCGTGGACCAGCAGGATATCTTCAGCCTTGACGCCATATTTGGCAGCTAAACAAATCAAAACATACAAAAAAAAGTTTCTTAGTTTGGTTGCTTCTAATAATATAGCAGGATAACAACTTTATTAGTACAGAACCCTTAAAGACTTTGAACCTGAGCTTCTTTTTGTTCATATACATGTGCAAGTAAAATAAACACACAGACACCACGTACACCTGTAAACTGTCAAAAGGTCTGAAATAATAAAAATCAAAGTTCTTACATGTAAAATAAAGAAGATGTGTAAATGGCCTGTATTTGTATAGCGCTTTACACATTCAGTCATCCACCCATTCACAGACTGGTGATGGCAAGCTACATTGTAGCCACAGCCACCCTGGGGCGCACTGACAGAGGCGAGGCTGCGGGACACTGGCGCCACCGGGCCCTCTGACCACCACCAGTAGGCAATGGGTGTAGTGTCTTGCCCAAGGACACAACGACCGAGACTGTCCAAGCCGGGGCTCGAACCGGCAACCTTCCGATTACAAGGCGAACTCCCAACTCTTGAGCCATGATCGCCCCCTGTCAAAGTCTTTATTCAGATCAACACAAGACTTCTCTCAGGAGAAGCGATGTCCAATGAAGGCCGCGTGAAGTGGTCGACTAAGAGTCTTTTTGGTTTTCTGTGAGATTGAACATTTTTATTATTATTGTAGAGGCTAAGCCTACGCCTGAAGCCACTGAGGTGTTCGATGGTGGGGGTCATGCGGTGCCACTGTTAGGAATGAAACTTGACATAGTCCAATAACTCGAGCCGTACTTATCTTGCCTGTTTAACAACTTTATTGCATTCCATCGGTTGTATTTGTTGTTCAACAGTTCTCTTAGTATCCAACGTCATTTAACATAACTCACAACAGCGCAGCGGTCACAAACTGTTCACTTCTTCTGACCAACAACACCTGATGCTAATTACACGTCTACCTTAAATACAGTCCTATAAACACAACATTCTGTAAAAACACAAAAATGTTACACATAAGGTAACAACACAAAAAATGGCTCCTACAACTATGATATTATAAAAGCAGGAATGAATAGACAGAACTCTCAGAATCCATCCAAGGCATGTACTGAGCAGCTGCTTCTCTACATAAAATATTGTACAAGTCTCCAATTCATGAACTAAATTTTCTTATATTCAATAATATAATTCACTGATTGTTTTCAATCACATAGACAGAAGTCTGATATAGTGACAGGGCTGAATAACACAGGTTGAACCTCAATGGAGTTAAATTTCCAGCTTGAATTGTTTCTGGCTGCCTGAGTGACAGATGACGGAGGTTGATCCACCTCAGTATGCTTGTGCAGAGACATGCCACATTTCACAGCTGATGATAAGAAAGAATAAAAGCCTAATTTATTTAATGAAAATCACTTACAAAGACAGAAATGACCTCACCTGCTTTGGCCACTGATACTCCATTGACATTCATCAGCAGCCGGGGACGAAGCAGCACCACATTTGTTTGCTGGACTTCTGACAAAATGACCTCACCAGACACGTACTTGTCGCCACGCCAGCGGTGTGCCACACCGAGCCGGGCAGCGAGAGCACCAAGTACTGTCATACCAACGCTGTGTCTGGTACCCTCCATCCCCGGATTACCCAGCCCCACCACCTGAAGCAAACGCAGACGCACAGTTAAAGGCATACGGCTCTGCAGTGAAGCTAGAGAAACAGAAGACTGTCTGAGTCAAAGGAAGCAGACTGTTACATTTTTATACGTATTTACACATATATTCAGACAAAGTAAAAGCAACTGAGTAAATAAGCTTTTTAAACTGGAGCTAGATGCAAACACAGAGAGATTCTAGATTTAGACTTAAAAAATGACCAAAAACTCATTAACATGAACTTCAGCGATATAACTGAACTTGAGTGTGAATTTTGCTCATTTGGTATTCGCTTCATCTGAGCAGTGATCATGTTTTTAAGTGGGGGAAAAAACAACAACAACAGAAACATGAGATATTTTGTGTTTTGTTCAGGTGCCATCTACATAAAAATGCTTCTTCTTCCTCACAGAAAACGTCAGGAGGCAGCTTCATGCAAGCAGATACAAACACACAGGACACGTAGAATATACAGCCATTGCCTTGTATTGATGGTACTGATACACTGGCAGCAGTAACAGCTCTGTTAACAGGAAAAACAACTATAGACAACATTGTAATGTATTGTATTGCACTGTATTGTATAAAGCTTCTATAGCTGCTTACAAACTGCAAACACTGTAGGGTCTTTTTTGAGGTTTCATTCATTTTTAACAAAAGCCTATGAAGGCAAAGACAAGTTAACACAGGGGAGGACAGCTGACATCATTTTAAAATAAAACTGTTAGATATGCTGATTAAAATAAAATAGAAAAAAATACAACAATAAGGAAAGACCCAAGCTGGCTGAAATGAATGAAAGCATTTTCCTTCTAAAATTATCCCCACACTAACCAGTAATTAATTTAAGGGCAATTACGCCAAATTACAAAGGGGGGTTTGAGTAACTCAGTAAGTGTTTTGAAAATGTAGTAAGGTGATGAACAATTTGACAAACCCTACAAACATTTTAAGTTCTCAGATCTTTCAATGGAGTTTGGCGAGATCTGACGACTGGTTTTAGGGGCTTACAAAACCTATAGCAGTAAACACATACAGCTGCCCGAGAACTTGGAGTGTAGTAGACAGTATGTAGCTGATTACGAGGTTTAACACTTACCATCTTTCGGCGGCCTTGATTGTGTATTTCTGCTTCGATTATCATCGCAGGTGAAAACGGATCGCTTAGCAGAACTCTGTTTATGACTCTCGTCAAAAGTCGTCGCATCATTAGAAAGTTAATCAACTTCTTGAAAAAGTTTAACAAATACTGGCAAAACTTACTTAAAACTGAGCCCTTTTTCATTCGGCTCATAGAACCGATTGTCTTCTCTTGACAGTTAATAAGAAATCAGTCGTTTCCACATGTATTTACAGTCATGAAGCAACAGTACCTGTTTGGGCATTCATGTCGATTCTGTCAATTCATCGATTTCGTCTGGGGTTCACTATATGAACTGTAACTTTGTCAGATATTTATTATCTGTTTGCAATTAATCATAAGAATTTCCGTAATTATTGCCAGTCTTTAAAATGTGAAGTAACCTTTTCCTGCCCTCCTGTCATGCTACTAACCGCTCAACGAGCGCTAGCAAGAAAACATGGCGGACAGACTTTTTCTCCTCTGTGGGGACACAGCGCCATCTAGCTCGGCGACTTGATTATTACAGCAAACACAAATTTGGAAGTCTATTGACTGAAAACAGCAAACAATGAACCTTTTAACACTATTTAAATTTCAATAAATATTTAATTTAAACGAGTTTTGATTACATTTATCGAAATGTGTTTTTATGTACAAACTGAATTTTATTTTACTTTATTTTACTTCATCTTCTCTATTTAGAACTATTTTTTGTTTTTGTGTTTAATGGCTGTGGCTGTGGTGGAACACAGTAGTTTCCCAATTTCTGCCAATTTCCCTTTCACTTTAACTTTTGGAAACTTTTCATCAACGGATGAACAGCAAAATGTAATGCATGTTATTAGGAGTGCCACAGATCATCGGTGCATGTACTGAAAGAGGACATGCAGAGGCCTGGGGTGACAGAAGAAGATGCTCGGGATAGGGTGAGATAGAGACAGATGGTTTGCTTTGGTGACTGCTAAAGGAAGCATCTGAAAGAAGACGAAGAACAAGTTTGCAAGTTTATTGGTTAGGCAACCAAATGCACAACAGAGGAAGTAAACTATAGCAGTTCATGTAATCCTAAAAGATTGATGCCACATGTTTAAAATTAGTTTGTAGTTATCAAAATAAGCAGTAGGGCTTTGGAGCTCAATGGGTCAAAATTCTTTTAAATCCTCCAAAAATTAAAGAATACAAAACAACGATTCACCTTGAATTTTGATTGCGCTTTATTTGAAAAACAAAGCATCAGCAGACTCATCATCAGTTTTGATCTGGGGAGCAGGGGACAGCATCAGGCACTGGCTGACACCGTTCCACCACAGCATTGATTTCGCCAACACTCACGCCGTCATAGGTGCCTGTGATGTAGGTCCAGTGGGTGTCTCCGTTGTGGTTGGTCCTGCTCAGCCGGCCGGTGAAAGGGATGTCAGCCTTCATCTTTCTGCCATCCATCCTCACGGTGCAGGAGTGATTGGGTGGGACCAGCAGCTCCACAGAGACAGCGTGACTGATTGACTCCACAATGGTGGTCCCCTTTGAGAAGGTCACCGTCTGCTCCTTGGACAACTCCACATTACCCGGACCAAAGATAGGAACTTTGGCTGTCATGGTGGACACAGAGCCATTGCGGGTCTCCCTGCCGATGTCCCATTTCTTCTCCACTGTACTGGTCTTCTCCAGTGTCACTGTCTTCTCCACATCTCTGCACTCCAGGTTGGTGACCTTAGTGAGCTTCAGGGCTTCTGGAGGATGGTGGAACAGCTCCATCTGGTCAATGGCATACTCCACATGAGAGATGTGCTGGCTGTAGCTGTCTCTGTTGATAGCAAGCACCTGGTATTTTTTGTACCAGTACTCATCCCCCTCCCAGGGGAGGAAGAAGGCTTCATGTTTGGTCACCACTTTACCAAGACCATACTTATTCTTACCCACATATATGTCTGAGTTGGGACAGGTTTTGATGGCATACTCAGGAACAGAGCCATATGAATCTTCAACCCACTGCAGGAACTCAAAGTGGTCCACGTTAACCAGGACTTCGAACTTGGAGGATGCATACTCTTGGTCAGCGTAGGGGTACTGGCAGAAGTTCCCTTTGGTGGGAGTGTAGAAACCGGCCTCACAGTTGACTTTGCACACATAGTCGGTACGTTCGGTGTAGCCGTTGAAGATGGCAACAGCGCCATTTGGGAGGGAACCGCTCCATGTGACCCACCTAAGGTTGACATGTTCACCAAACATGGGGCTTGAGTGTGAAGTCGTCTCAGTTTCTGAGGTTTCTACAACTTTAGGAGGGCTGAGAGCTCCCCGGGAAGGAACAACATTGCCCAAGGTGGGGTTAAGCCATGGCTCTGTAAGAGAAGATAGAAAGATAGTGGCTGTAGGATTTATTCTCGACAAACAGAAGTTTCAACTCATTTGAAACATTTACTACCAAAACTGTTAAGACATGTTCTTAAAAAAATTTAAAAAAAGCGGAATCGAGTTTGAATGAAAGACTGACACTTGCTTTCAACCAAAGTGTTAAGCAGAAAGAAACATTGTTGACATCAGGTAGTTTCATACCTATTTTTTAAGCACTGTGAGGGTGAAAGTGTATCCACTAGTGACAGTTATTGGGTTAGGGTCTTAATATAAATTCAGCACCTTCACAATCTTAACACAACCTTACATGAGCGCACCATGACACCATACATGAGGTGATGGAAAAAAGTGTTACAAAGCCCTTAGATTAAACCTGGTTGCTATTTCCTCTGAACCTTTTCCAACATTCCTCTTATTTTTAGTCCCTGCCTGACTAACTGGACTTACACATCTCGGATGCAAGTTGGACATGTTCTACAGAGCCAAAAGACCAATGCGTCATTTGAATATATTTTGGGGGAAGCAAAATGAGAAAAAACTAAAATAAAGAAAGCCAAATCTGCCAAGAAGGCTGAGTAGGGTTGGTGTGGCCAGAAAAAGCTCCCTTTTTCAGTGCTTTAACCCCTTAATGCCCAGTGTGTCATATTTGATACATGAGTTTATTTAAGTTTTAAGACTTTAAATTATCAGTGTAATTTTTTCTCCCCTGAAAAACCTAAACAAATTTTAAAACACATTTTTAAGCAATGCATTTTTTA